GTGGCTATGAAAAACCTGCACTGGGGATGCGATCCCTCCAGTTGATGGACAGTGAACTAATTTTTGCCTTATTGCCAGTTTATTATCCTGCATCAGTGCAGGACTGAAGCATCACACTCCTGTAGTCTAGGAGTTTTCAGCTTTCGCTAGCTCTTTGCCTTCAGGTCGGCTGCTCATCCCATTCAGAAACCCCCATCTGTGAGGCCAGAGAAAAATCCTTGAGAAGAGATACTGTTTGATGGAACACCTGCCTTGTTTAGTGCTATATACTCCCTCTATTTGCCAAAACGTAGCCTTACCTTCTCCAGTGCACAGACTGTTGTTGTTGATTCATGACTTCCTCTGCTGTGCTGCCAACATACCTAAATCTTGCTCTTTCATCTGCTAAAGAGGGTACTCAAACTTCGGCAACAGAAGGAAGTGAACCCAGCTGCATTAATTATGGTATAGATCCTTTATTAGTTCAGCTTTTATACAAAGTGTACTTCAAAGTGATACAAATAGTGTTTCTTTTACAGGCTAGAGATAAAAGATCTGTTAAGCACTGCTTCATCCTTCTTGAGTATATAAAGGTAGAAAATGTAAAGAGATTGGCAGTGAACCATAATGCTGGAAGACAGTTCAATGTTTGTTAACAGAAAGTTGCATAGAATTGTAGGCCTTTATAAAAAGGCATCTGACTATGTGGTAAAATCTCCCTGACCTACCAAACTTCATCCGGCAAGCAGTACGGGAGAAAGGCAAGGCTAGTACTGCTCCTTTCAAATACTATCCAGCGCTTCCCAGTAAAATGGCTGTAGAAAAGCACCATGCCAGAAACATCCAAGAGGACAGCACAGGGAAAATTTAATTTGCAAGGCTACCCATTTCTATAACTCGTAGGAACTGTTTGCCACCCAGGACCTAGTAATACATTAAACTTCTTAAGAACACCTAAGAACATTTGAGGTAAAACCACTTTTGGCCAGTCAAAATACTTCACTATATTAGGTATTTTGCTCGACTATGCAATTCCATTCCCTTCCGTGCTGACAAGAAAGGCTCGTATATGTGTGCTACTAAATTAATTTATTTCATATGAGACTGTTAATCTAGTACTAGAATTGATACTCACTAAAAACTGCCACTTTGATTAGATACTCCAGCAAAATTCCTCCTTGCCACTCCCGCACCCGACTCAGATGCACGGTTCTCAGTTCCATGCCTGTCACTGAATCTCATCTAAACCTATGGGATGTTCTCCGCAAAATTACTGTTCCCATTCCAAATAAAGTAAAGTAATGTGAGCAGCAATGGTCCATGCTGGCCATGACCACCAACAATTTTTTGCTTTGGGAAGAGTGCAGGAGAACTCTGCAGGGTTTAAAGGGAATGCAGCTTTAATGCTGAAGGAAACAGAGGAAACAATATTTTGTCTTGAATTTGACCTCTCAAGTGGAGAAGTCCCTTGAGGGAACTAGTTTACATGTACTGGTAACTGGCCTCTTGGGTGTCCAGAATAAGTATGTAAACATTGATTTTCTTTCAAAGACAAACTTACCACTTGCTTTTAAACGTTAATTTCTTTAAATACACCCTTCCTGTTACTTACTTTCACTCAATCCAATGTAGGATAAGGATTTGCTCAACTCCTTGTAATACCCTTTAGTCTCACGTACTTTACTTAACAGCTTGCTCTCTCTGGGTTTTGTTGGTGAATCTCCCAGGTTTGGTACTATTACATTTTGTACCCACTTACTTGTGGCTAAAGACTTAATCTCCTTTTAATTCTAATGCTGTGTTAATTGCAGCAGTTTACACCGGTAAACTAAGCTGGTGGCACAGGCTGGTGCAGCTGCATCATTGCTCTTGGGCTGCAGGAAGACAGTCGGACCACACTTACTCTTTCTCTCCACTCTCCTGGCTCCACAGTCTTTGCTCGCCCTTTTCTAGCTGAAAAGTTCTATTACAAGCAACTAAAAATATGATAGTTACTTGCACGGTTACCGGTCCACCTAAGTAACAGTTCAACTTGCTCTTAGCACAGTTCCACCTGTGAGGAACTGGAACTAATTAAAGTGTGATTTAGTATGAGAATACTGATACCAGTAATTCAGTGCTGGAGGCCTCCCCTAATGCACTTCTAGCAGTGTCATATAATCCTAAGATAGAGTCATGACTAGGGAAGTAGCATTTCCAAGTGAACATCTTCTCTTACACCAAGTCTACTACACTATTTGGACCCTTAGTTTTTATAAAAAGGATTAACAGGCTATTTGAAAGAAAAAAAAATTTTTTGCTTCTGCCAGCTGCTATTAAAGGCTGTGTAATACATGAGACTGGAAAAGCTAACACTAGCTAAAATACTAACATGCTGGGCTATTTAATTTCAGCATAGTTAATTATAAGACAGGTAAAACGATCATCGTATTAGCAGAGGAAAATCTTAAGTGCAGAACAGTTATCAACACTGAGGAATGGGATTAAGAGAGTAACTGGAGGGATCTGATGCTATTAGCTAGTATGTGCCCATCTGAAATACCTCTGCAAGCGCTGCTCTGCTGCTAAACCCAAGCTGCCAGGTCATTCCAGCAGCAGGTGGGCCCAAAGTGTTGCCACATTTTAACATGGGAAGTTCAGAGTCTCCAGAGCTGGCAACTAGGAACTACACAGATCGCGTAGCAGAAAGTCCATCCTTACTACCCACGACATGTTTTTGTCACGCAGTTTCATGTCTCTCACTTAGGGGCCTGACAGCAGACCAAACACTAAGTAAATATTAAATTTTTATTTATTTCCTGTACTAGAAGGAATTTAGTCATAAATAAGTGGGTGAAATTCCTAAAATAAACAAATGCAGAGACCCCATTATGGTGAAAGCACAGAGCTAATAACTCGTTTTTCTCTGTGGTCAGAGGAGAAAAGCTTGGGTGATCATTACTACCCTCCAACTTTGGAAAGATCAACCAGCTCATCTGAGTTCTATAGGATTTGGAAATAATTTTCTTCTTTCACATTAAGCAAAGTAGATAAAGTTACATCACAGAACCACAAGGTTACAGTACACAGAAAAGCACTGATTGATTCTAATAGCACGAAACCTGGTGTTGCTAAGAAGCTTCAAAGTTAGTGTGAATGCTGAAATAGTCATACAGACCACAGACACTAACAGTTTGCTTATTTAGAACATGAGGTAATAAAAGCATTCTTACTTTCAACCTACAGCTTTAATACACACACTGATATATTTGAATTGACCACCGAATGCTTACTGTGAACGAAGGCCTTCCCAAATTATAGCTACTGTTTCAGATCGTTAAATATGGCTGCTTAAGAGATGTGCTATGTCATGAGTTGGTGAGACTGCTGTAGTGACCTAAATACTGCCAGTGATTGTTAATTTAACCTAGAAGATAAGGACTGAAAACAAGTAAATATTTGGACTTATGAATGTTTTCTTTCAGAAAAAACCCAACTTTTACAGAACAGTTATATCTGTCCGTTTTTAAATGCACAAGAACTGAATATGTGCACATCTGCATCAGTGGTACTAAAGAAACAGCATGTTAGAAGGGATTTATTAATGACTGAAATTAAGACAGCTCTGACTGCAAGTCTTCATAATGTAGTGTATACGCTAAAGAAGGTTGCTGCCTCTCTCTTTGGTCAGGCCGTTTGCCATAAAAGCACTGCTCTGAGTGACAGCAAGACATGCACAGTAATGTATTTGCTTTCTAAACTATAAAATTAGCTTATTCAGATTGTTGCACCTCTGCACATTTTCCTGAAAGTTCAAAACTGATTTAACACGTTCAGTAAGCAGGAAGCCAGGTTCTCCCCTAGTTACTCCACTGAAGAGCTGCAACAGACAGAATATGGCTTAATTGTAGCACTGAAAACAACATGAACAGGCTGAGTGAGAAGTTTAGAGAAAACCCTTTGAACTGTACAGATTTCTCATGCAGTCCTTACAGATAAATGCCCCCTTGATGCTGTATTTGTGGGACTGTTAAAAAACGCTAGCTCTTACACAGCTGTAAACTTGAGTACTAATAAAGATGTCCGAAGTCCAAATGACTGTGCAAATATTCGTCCGTTGTGGATATTAATGTTCAAATAGCCTTAAACCTGCTGAAAGAAAATTAAGGATACTCAAGGTGTTTATATATGCTTTAAAGATATTGCGTACTGAATGGGCTGGTCTTAAGCTTAAAGGACCCTGTAGAAATAGTCGATACTTTCACATAGAAAAGCTTCAAATTTTTAAATAAAATGCAGATCCCCTCCCTCAAACTCCCAAGTTAATTCATGCATCTATTTAAAAGGTTTTAGATGACTCTATTACCTTGGGCTTTGGTATTAGTCTCTTAAGTGTTATCAGTCTGTGAAATTAGAGAAGCTCTAAAGTAAGTCTCAACCTCACCTGAAGCCATTACATAGCTGTAGAATGACAATTTAAAATGCTTTCTTTCCACCTTTGAAATAGACCTTCTACAGACTATAAAAAACCAAAATCTATTAACTTCTATTACTGACTTACTAACTCTATTACTGGCTTTTCCCAAAATTAAGTACATCCCAAATGTCATTACTGATGATTACATTTTCCTTCTGTTTCAAGGATAAGCACAAACCACACTTAAATGGACTATAATGGACCAGGAAGGAAACAACCTTTAAATATCTTTGACCTTAAAAGGCTCTAGGCTTTCAGGCTTGAAAGACTCCTGTACATGATGCACTGAAGAGATAATAAACCAAGTCTCCTTCCCCCTTTTTATAAAAACATTAGATAAAAATGTATTTGCCAATTATTGGTTTTCAATGCCCAATGTTCCCTAAAAGAAAATTCCCCCATTTGTTTTTATGCCCCAAGAGGAAATTAGGAAGTAATCTAGATTTAAAAAGAAAGCAAGTAAATCATACATGATATACAGTTTACCAATCATTCATAGAAAGTAGGAAAGTTTGCCAGATGGTCACAGAAATGAGAAAAAAACGCTTTTTGAGCTTACTTCTCTTTAGATAACTGTAACTTCCCTAGGTTTTCTTTTTACACTCTCTAGTCGTGCTAGAGGGCGGAAATTTGTTGACTTCCTACTTTCTTCTGTAGTAGTTAATCGACAGTCCTTCTGCAGCCCCCTCAGCAGCTCCATTAATTCCCGTTTTTCCAGCTCTGCCTGCTCCAGCTCTTGACGGTGCTGTCTCTCTGCAGCCATCAGAGAGCGTACATCTGACATCATTCGTGACATCTGACTCTGCAAGAAACAAACTCTTTTCTAATGATGGTGGTATGAAGTTGAATTGGCCATGCATGTAGGGTGATGGATTATAAAGAATAAGCAACACTGAAATAATTTTTTGATAGCAGAACAAATGTAACCAATTTGAGACATAATCCAGCATTTACCTACTGAGATGGTCTTGTTTCAAAGATTCCAATAGAGTTTTCCTAAAAGTGCAAAAAGTTTCTTATAAAGTCTAATAAGAAACAGTAGATTTATCCAGTTACTGCTTAAATTTTGTATTTCAAGACCCCAAACAGAATAAGGTTTTGGTTATGTTCAGATACATTCTTCAAGGATTCAACATCAAATCAAGTAAAAATAAAAATGTAAACAATAAAGCACATCCATTGCTTTGGGCTTTAAAAATCATTGTTCTGTGATGTTGCCTGTTCTGCTTCCCATACTTAATGGAATTCTCATCTGTATCAGGCTATATAAATAAGAGACTTATTAAAATAAGGGACTTACTGATAAAATAAGAGACTATTACTGTGAAAAGCAAAAAGCTAGACTGTTAGGGGAGAAGAAAAAACAAAGAAAATAAAATGATCATAATTACCTTTAGTTCTTCAATTTCATTTTGCAGAATACTCTCTTTTTGGACCATATGCCTTCTCTGTGAATCTAACCTTGACTCCATCTCATGTTTTGCCTCCTCCACTCTGCATATCATTTCTGACCTAAAAAGTTTATTTCACCTTGTTAGGTCTCATAGGCATGGACAAAAATTATTTGAAAATTCCAGAAAGACTTCTTGCAGCCAAACAGCCCAATCAGATTCCCATCATGCTCTACAGGACACCTCTCTAAAGGCATGATAATACTATTTATTAATTTAAATAGAACTGGCATAAAAAAGTGCATTGTGCCTGGGGCACTGAAGTGACCACAGACAGCCTATATAGGGGACAACTGTATCATATTCTTAAAATAATTCTGTGAACTCAAGATCAGTGATTTACTGCCTTTTACTTATAGTATGTGCTTACTTAGTATTACTAAGCACAGGCAGTCAAGATAAAAAGTGTGAATACTACAGTATTGCTAAACATGTCACCTTGTCACTGTTATGGCGGACACTAAATGATAGTATGCAGTAAATTATTATAACCTAATCACTCACACAGATTCACAGCTAAAACCTAGCTGTTACTACATTCCCCTTTTCAGTTCAGAAACTAGGTAGCAGAATCCCTTGTGTCTCAGTGCGTTTAAAATAGATTTAAGCCTGACTTCACAGAAAGGTTCAACACCACAAGACTCAAACAGCGAGCTGAAAGATAGAAATGAGAAGGAGCATGGAAAAAAACAGCCCAACTGGAACATCATGGAAAGGGAAAGCTATGGAAATGTATATAAGAGTAAAAAGAGGATGCCGGTACAAAGAATCATATTCATCAACTGTTGTTAATCTGGCAGGATTTTAATAAAAATTGAAAATTAGATCATCAGTGTTTTAATCTACCAGTCTGTACCTGACAAAATAATTAGAGATTTTTATCTTTGGGATTTTTAAAAATACCCAAACAACTAAACATAATTATTAAATAATGTGACTTTGGGTCTATGTCAGGCCAATGGATAAATGAAATTGCCCACTTCATTCTCTTGTTAGATATTTTGCCATTTTATAGTCAGCTTGCAGCTCAACTGCAAGCATTGGTATTTTAGGATTTATGATAACTTGGACAAAAAAAAAAAATCAAAAAAATCAAACCAGCAAGAATTTAAAGTCTGTCCTGACACATAATAATACTCTGGCCCATTAGGATCAAGTAATTAACAGACTATTTAACACATACCGGAATGCAGTCCTAATATTTGAAGTGCTTTTATGCAGTGATTTTAGGCCCAGACTAATACAAAGGTCAAAGAAACAGAAGATTTGTACCGAAGTAGTTCTAGCTCGGTTCTTAGCTCTGCTACACAATTATGCTGTGTGTCTTCTGCAGTGAGAATGGTGTACCCACAACCATTGGGGCATTCACGGCTCCGATATTCACACACTGCCAGGTGACCATCTAAGTTGCGTCGTTCAATCTGAACTGTGCAACCTGAACAGGGAACAGTAAAGTAAGCCTGTCATTTACAACTAAAAAAAGCATTTTAACTAATGCCAAATAAAACCACTCAAGCAAACAAGCTGCAGTATCTTGAGCAAGGCAACTATCAATATGTTAAAGCAATGAAAAAAAGTGATTTCTTTAGAGTACGAAATGTGATAGTTAACACATACTAGTAATAAAACACTCTTAAAAAGCTGTATTAATATATTTATCCATTAACTGAAAATAAATATTAAAAAGTAGATATTTTCTGTGAAGTCTTCTGCCACTGGTCTGGCATTAAAGCAACTTCAGTAATGACAACACTAATGCCAAGCTAAAACTCTAGTGTCTTGCCTGCACTTCCACCACAGACTGCAATGACTGAAATTGAAGAGGAATGCACATGTGAAAAAAAACTTGCCCATTATATATGAAATTTAGAAAAAAGGTCCAAGGACATGTAGCAAAACTGGGTGAGATGGAATGTAACCTTATTTTCCTGAACATTGGTTGGGCCTGTGTATAACATACTAGGCCACATAAACAAGAATATTTACGAACATTTAATATCTGATGCGAAAATAGAAACTTTCCCACAGAAATTCTGTGATAAAAACTTTACAAGTCTGTAGTGTAAAATGTGCAGGACCAAAAATGAACACTATATAAATTATTGATACATTTAACATGCTAAACTTTGAAGCGTGTAGTCTTTATTTCTAATCTTTGGGTCACTGATGTAATATATATACTATAGTTCCTTCCATTTCATTTGAAGATAAAATAGATGCAGGAAAACTGAAACAACGGAGCAATGAAACTTGCCAGCAAACCATACAGAAAATTACAAACGACAGCCCTCTAGAAGTGCTTTACTAATAAATATAATGATTTGTAATGGGAGGTACTCAAAATATGCTCTGATGTATTCTTGAGGAAGAGTTCAAGAGACGCAAGAGCCCTCACAGCCTGTGCACCAGACATCAGAGATAAGGTGTGCTAAATCTATAAATGCTACTGTTTCTGTAGAAAGTAAACCAGGTGAATCTGAAGCATCTGCAGGAGTCATTTACTGCTGAGAAAAATTGTAACTTCTAGTGGAACAAACCTAGCACCGTTATCGTCTTATAATTAATTACTATGGCAGACTTGACTATGCCCTTAGCATCACTAGTTAGAAACTAACTTTGTCTAAGAACATAGGACATTTTGAATAAAATTGAGAAATTTTAACAGGCTGTTTCTTTTTAGCAGTATCTTTCTTCCTCAGGAAGTGTAGGTTTGTTTTAAACAGAGACTTTAACATGAACACACCAATTCTAACCAGAATTTAACTTAAAATAAGTCTCATTTTCAAGATACTTTTTTGTTAAAACCATGAGACTATGAGCGGCTGCACATGCACCAGGGAACCGTCTGTTTTATGAAGAAATTGCGAGCCATAAACGTTCTGGAGGTGATATTACATTGATTCAAATATCAAAATGATCAGTCAAAACTGAAAGACAAACTCATAACTTGATAGAAAACAAAAGAAACATGCTACTGTATTTTCATAAATTTGAAGTCCACTATTCTCTGTCATTTTGGTTAGTTCTTGGATAAGAAATTGTTGCTAATGTTCATGATTGCTGTAAATAGGTAACAAATTTTGTTCAAAAAGACTGCTGTAAAGAGTAGATCATGCTAAAGTTTTGAATTTCTGTTTGGAAATAACAGCCATTATTGCTGTTCTGTTGACAGAAAGATGATACACACACGTTTTCTGAATAGAAAGAATTCAACTTCTTTGAATGTTACTCACCGGCATTGGAGCAAGGTATCTGACTGTATTCACACTCCCTTTCATGCCTGTCTATAGACTCCAGAGAACAAACCATTTCACAGCCATGCTCTCTGTTTTTGCAATGTAGCTGAAGACGGTTTAAATCATTTTTCATATATCTATGTGCAAAAAAAATTAATTTGTTCTTAAATCTGGGAACATTACTGAAAAATTTGTATTTTCAACTTTTGGGAAAAGAAAGTAAGATTCTAATCTCCATTAGGAAAAATTTTGAGTAATGAGTTTAATTTTTTTTTTTTAAATTCAAGTGACCGTATTGGAAAAGAACAGGCTTAAAAGAAACAATGTTTCTGGAAAATTCAGTCTCCAAAATTAAATGTGCAAATGAAATCTTTACTTTTTTGAGTAAGTTTTTAACTGTGACCTTTCACTAAATCAGCAGATACGACCAATGACAAACACTATGACTACTTCTCCATTATTTAAGTTTTTTGTTTCTAAACATGCCAAACCAAACTGACTACAGTAAGTACGGACAAAAAAATCCATAAATTAAACTCTAGGGTTCTGTCTACACTATACTTCAACTTTCCAGACAGTAAAATCTCATTACTGACAAAAATACTGGGAGTACTAATGGAGTTAATTTAACATCTGTGGCTGAAGGCTTTAAAGACAACTGTTAATCTGAGCAAGATTAGACAATGCAGGGGTTAAACAGCAAGCAACATCTACTGATGAAACTCTGTGCTGGGAATGGAATGGAACAGAATAGAGTGGAATATAGTTGGAAAGGACCTACAATGATCATCTAGTCCAACTGCCTGACCAATTACAGAAGACACTTGTGAAAACAGCCTGCTTTACATGACAAGGTGGCTCAAGATAGATATTCTTATGGCTAAAGATCTTTTTAAAAAAGGATTTGAAGGCAAGAAGTTTGGTTTATATCTATAGGAGTTACTCATTACAAACCCCACTACAGTATCTAGGTCAGCCTGAAAAGAAAAAAAAAAGATATACAGTGTTTAGGGACTGTTGTCAGGAGTTGCTTTGCCTGCTTTCCCTAAAAAAATATGGGAAAGTTTTGGTGCTGTAGAAGACATTCAGAATAATATCCAGACAGAAATCTAGAATCAGCATTCAAGATACAAAAAGGTGGAGAACAAACTAAGTGTTCTTTACATTTTGAAATCTTAATACCTTGAAAGTTAGTTATAATAAACAGAAAATGCTAATGCTTTCGTGCAAGCAATCGGTTTCTGCTATAGGCATATTGGATAAACACAATTTGAAAGTAAATGACAAGAGATGAAGCTATGCAAGCAAAGTTGAGAAATCCTAAATTCAACGTACAGCAAGATTATTGTATACCTGTAGAGAGGTCGTAGTAAAGACACATCAATCATTTGTCTGTCTTCAGGGCAGTTACTGTGATGAACAAGCCATCCATGTATACAAGCAGTACAGAAAGCGTGTTCACAAGGAGCCTGTAATGGATCTTCTAACACATCACGGCAAATGGAGCATAATAGCCCTTCATTAACATAGCCAACGAAACGGTCAATATCATAACCCATGCTCTCCACACACTTTCAACCTATTAAAATAACACAGAGAAATAAAGCAGTCTTTGTCCTGAATCTTGATGGCTAGATCGACAAAAAGGCCTAGAAGCAATTCTGGAAATACGGAGAACTTAACGTGAATAAAGAACTTCACAGGTGAGAACGCAAAGGCTTATGTACTTTGGAGACTTTAAGATTTAGTACAATTTGAGGACTGTATTGCTGGATGTCAGAATCCCAATTTTGTATCAAGATTCTCTGAAATCTGAAAGAAAAGGCAGATGAGCTGCTCTTGTTCTGAACTCTGTTATTGCACATAGTTCTAGAAGCCACTGTGAAACATATAGTTTCTATTTATTTGAATTCTACCTAAAGCAGAAACATCACAGAAGTTCAAATGCAAACGTTTGCTTTCTGTTTTAATGCCTTTTATATAATGCCTAACAAACTTATAAAACAGGGTCCTTACAGCAATAGCTGTGGTACTTTCAGCCAGCAGATTTTGTATTTATGAACTGCATATCACTTAATGTGTTGCTTTCATATTGGGAAAAAAAAAAAAAAGGGGCTAAGATTCTCTACTCATTGTAGACTTCTATTCCAGAGGGAACAGCATTAAATCTCCACATGCCTAGAGAATTACTTTATATTCAGGAAGATAAAGAAGCCAAAGCTGCAGCTAACCCTGAAATCATGAGGAGCTACTGTCTTCTCCTACAATGGTCTATTTTTTAAAACTGGGTAGCCTTTAATTGGATTTGGAAGCTTTGTGAAGAACTAACAGGCAATCTCCCTTCATCAAAATCCTACCACAAAAAGCCTGGTAGAATCTGGTAAGACTCCACAGAACTCAGTATGTTGTAGGCTTCACATTTGTCCTTAACATACTAAATTACTTTTGTAACTCCACTGAGAGTCATGAAAGAGGTTTTCATTAGTTATGAGGTTTTCTAAATAAAACAGAAAAGGAAGATATCCTACCTTTTTAGATTTTACTACCTATATACGTAGTTTGTCCAAATACTTCAGAAAGTTTTCTGATCAGTAAGACATGTACACCTTCCTTCCTTCAGTTTATCTTCATTGCTTTATTATGCCTATGAGAAAAATTAGAAAGAAAAAGGCTCAGTAGTATTTCCTAAGTTACTGAGTCCGATGTCTAATCAGCCAGATGCTGAATAGATGCTGTCCTAACAGCTCATTAAAAAAAGCTTTCCAAAGCAAGCCACTGTAAAGCCTACAATTCAACACAATTCAACAGATTTGACTAGACTGGAGGGAGGGAAATAATCAGTCTTTCTTTCAATTATAACTGATGCAGATACTTATCACAAAACTGAACACACTGCTGTCATTTAATTTGGAAGCCTTACAGTTTTGTTTGTAAGATTGAAGACAACAGAATTCAATATTATCAAAGAATTTTTTCTTCGATAAAATTCGAAAAAAGAATTGCTACTTTGCAACAGAATTCTGGTAAAATTATGTTCCTTAAAAAGGTGGAAGTTTCTTATCTAACCTGTTTTTACCTGGGCATTATATGCAGTTCACTTTTAAAATGAAACTATTACAGTCAAGTTCATTGTATTGACAAGTGACATTACTCTGATGTGTAGCAAAACTAAGGTCACTCAAAAAAATAAAAAGGATGTAATCACTTAAATCCTGTAAACTGTTATCTAGCAATTGCAATATGACATTCAACGAGAATCTCAACCTGAATTTGAACTGTGTAAGAACAATAGGGATCTCTAAGGACTAATGTCAAATTTTGCTCTAAAGGGAAAAACGAACTTTGCAATTCCTCTTCATGAATACAATATAAATCTGGAATTTAGAAGATCTTATCTATCTGAGTATCAAAGCATATCTTCACTGATTATGAAAAGTGCCTGTGTTAAAAGGGTATTTGCCAAGATTAAAGTTAATAAAACATGTAATGAAAGCATATATAACACAAGCAGGCACGCATATTACCCCAGTACTCAAAATTCATCTGCTACATGGTTTCCATATTGTGTTTTGTTTCTACTGACAAATTTATCGCACAGCCAACACAATGGCTTGCAGAGATGCCTGAACCAGCTTTAGATTAGCTGGGACACCTACTAGCCGGGTGACTTAGTGACAGTATTGCCAGAGCAGCAGGGAGTGCAATCCACATAGACTCCTGACAAGGTCCCAGGCAGATTTCAGACTGCATTTGGCTCTGTGCTTCTGTGGCTACGTTGACATTGACAACACAGGGCAACTAAATTTGCAGGTATCTGGGATATGCGATTCCTTCGACCACAACACGGACGTTCTATGTCTAAGAAGAGTCTGCTCAAGAAAATACCATATTATGAAGATGATAAACAATTATTTTTTGCACTATTGTTTCCTCGTATGTTTTTACAGATCTCCTGCAAAAATAGGAAATTCAGGACGTAGCTAGTTCAGCATGAACAAAATGAGCACTATGTTTGCACAAAGCTGTGACTATAAGGACAGCAAGGATCACAATGGGAAGTTAAAAAATGGAGAACAATGCTAATTATGAGTAGCAGGATGAAGTCAAGTACTAGTTCCCAATACTGATAAAAGCACTGAAACATGTAGTATGTTCATGCTGGAGGACTGTTAAACAGCATATATATTCTATAATTTGAATTACGATTTGGCTTGGTGGATCCTAGAGGATTCAGCTTTTAGAAAACTTTCATAGAGAGATAAGATACATCAAGAAAACAGCGAGTATTTTTGCTGCCTTAGGGTTTCTGCTCTAATGGAATTGCAGCTGCTGTAAGCTACACTTTGCACAGATGTTGCTGATTCCCTGAGCACTCAGTCTTCAAGACACTCTGGCATATTTTAGCAAGTTTGAGGTCTATCACAATGCAGGAAAGAGTATTTTTATTGAGTGGGAAACAAAAACTTTATTTGTGCTTAACAGAAAAAGGAAGTGCAACATATATATGCTTTTTTTTATATATATATAAAGCCCCAACCAAAACCAGAGTTCAAATGGAGAGTGGATGGGAACTTTGAGGCAAAAAATACAATCAGGGGTGTTTCTGCTGAGAACTTCAGTGTTTTCAAGACTGATGTTGGCACACCACCATCCCACACAGTGTCAGAATCCTTGTAGCTTTGAGTCTGAGATACAGGACAACAGCTGTCACTGAAGTCCCAGACCTCTTCCAGGAGAAATTTCCTGACCTGAAGAAACAGAGATGTTTTACCTTCTGCCAACTTCAGGAGACACACTTTAGTCAACAGATAAGCAGACAGAGACCATTAGATGAATGCACTCTAGCAGTATAGGTCACTTTACTCAGTACTTCCATCACAAAACAATGTAATTTTCAACTTCTGCTCTTCCCCAGAAACTTCTCTCTTCTTGACTCGGCCTCAAAACCTCTTCTTCAATTCCTATTACAATTCATCAATTGTCACACTCCTTTTTTTGTTTGGACCTAAAAACTACATTATTTATCATTGCCGTCCCACACTCCACTAACACTTCCAAACCTTGCCTTGTCTTTGGTTTCTCTGGTCCAGAATTTTGCCCATCACCTGGCCATTACCAGCAACACTGTCCACAAGGATATCTGGAATTTGTGAGTGCCAAATCTGAAAAGCAGAAAACTCACAAACTATTACATGCTATCTGCTTTCCGTTGTTTCACATATATTTCATTTGTCCCCATAGTTTTTGACAAGCAAAAATCGTGAGATTTCACAGATATTAAGTAATTTTTTAGTGGCTGTCATCCCACCTTGTTTGCCAGGCAGATGCACACCTAAAACCAGCCTTGAATTATGTACTGCACTGCCTTCAGAGATTTTGTATGGATGTAATAGCAGGGAGAATACACATGGGATGTAGTTCGCAATGACATAATCACACAGCTTACTAAAGTTCTGGCACTAATCAAAGCTATTCCACTGTAAAAATCAGGACACTGAGATCAGATTACTGACTTAAATTTTTCCATCAACAATAGTTTCTGATTTTTAAAAACTGTTTTTTTTTCCATGTGACAAAACAAAGCATAACTGTTTGAAGGGCTGGAGTGAATCACAACAGAACTACAGATGTGCATCACTACGACAGCATTTTTAGAAGAGCGTGTGTCCGAAAGAACACGCAATCTACGCAGGGCTCAGAGATGAGATGACATTAAAACATGATATTGCTTCAGCTTCTATTTTCACAAAGATACACTGTGCTTTAAATCCTGTTATATAGAAGCAGCGTTTTAGGGTGTCTTATGCCACTCTGCCACAGTCACTGTAAGCCACTTCAAGCCAGCATTAACGTCCAAAGAGGCAGACTCACCCCTTCAACTGTGACAGTCCAAGCTGTTTCTACAGCCACTTATGTATCATACTGGGTAACTGACTTGTTTTAAGACTGAACTTGGGGGGGGAAGGGGAAGCTTTAACTTTGACAGTTGTCCTACAGTAGCCCAAGCCAAACTATCCACTCATTAATGCCCTCCTACCCTCCCTCTACTTCCTCCCTTAAATCAGGTAGAACGTTTAATTTGGTCTTTTCCTGAGCAGGCTTAAACAACCAACCCCACAGAAGACTACTCACTGATTTGCTAGACTAGATTTTCTTGTACATGGCTCAGCAAAAGCTCCAATGACTGTGGAAGCAGGTCATGACAGGGGATGAGAAACCACAGCCAGGGCAGAAAGGAAAGACAGCAGCTGTGTCTGTGGTTAAGGCTGCTATAGAGCTACTCCCTCAGCTTGGCTCTCCAGACTGGTACACTGTGGAGTATCATGAACACTCATGGAAGAGAAAGGAAACGGAAGAGGATTAAGAATGAGTGGGTAGCAATACCAGCTTATTCTGATGTGAAAACCGGACTTAACCAACAAAAGCTTCTATAATAACCAGTACAAGATATACAATTAATTTAAGGCCTATGCCTGTACCAGGAAATACCCAACTTGCTGTCCTGCTGCAAAACCTACTCAAAACAGAGCGACAGAAGAGCTGCATCTCACAGACCACCTTTTAGGCTTTGAAGGGCTGGGCTCTGCTGCGCAGAGGCAAGACCAAGGACAGAAGAGCGCTCCTCAGAGGCTCTGGTGGGGATGGGGTCCCTCTGAAGCACCGCCAGGAGGAAGGCCTCTAGGTCATGCCTGGGTAGGCTCTTCAGGAATGGGTAACGACCTTGGTCACAGCGACCAAAACTGGCCTGGAAGCACCTGGAGCAGCAACGTAACGTCAGGCAATCGCACCCAAGCGGACTGAAACAACTCACAGACAATGAACTTCATCTCGATGCCCACTAGCAAACAGCTGGCCAAGCGACCACCAGCCCGGCACAGGGGCTGGTGCAAG